TTCTGTCTGCTACTGTTAAAAGCCTTGGGGTTGTGTTGGACTCATCACTGACGATGGAGGCCCAGATCACTGCCATAAGTAAGCAGGCCTTTTTTCATCTTCGTCAGGCAAGGAAATTGGCATCCTACCTTTTGGTAGAAGCATTGGCAACGGTAATCCACGCAACAGTCACCACTAGGTTGGACTATTGCAACGCCTTATATGCCGGCCTTCCGAAGTCAATAACTCAGAAGATTCAGATGGTCCAAAATGCGGCAGCCAGGCTGCTAGCGAGATCATCTATAAGATCCCATATTACACCAATTCTGCAACAACTGCATTGGCTACCAACAGAACATCGGATCTCTTACAAGATACTCATCCTGAAATTTAGAGCTCAAAATGGCCAAGGATCTTTATATCTTAGTGACCACCTCATTCCTTTTTCCCATCAGTGGTTACCTCGATCCACCCAAGAAAATCTTCTATACATACTGGGCCCTAGGGAGGTACACCTGGAAGCTACAAGGCGTAGAGCTTTTTCAACCTATGCTCCAATTCTGTGGAACTCATTGCCTCCATACATTAGAGCAATGTCGGAGTTGCAACCTTTTGTAAAGGCACTCAAGACTTGGCTGTTTGGTTGTGCATTTAAGTAAAGTGATCAGATCTAATTTGCCAAATAGTCACTGTTGTATGTTTTATGTTGAATGTTTTTATATTGTGTAAATGCTATTTTAAATTGTAAGTCACTTGGAGCACCTTGGTGGAGAGTGACTAATTAAGAAATAAAGTGAAGTGAAGTGAAGTGAAATATGATGACAGTTGTGGCCCACGCAAAAGTGACTAAAATTTGCAGGCTGGTAAACTGGCTGAGATTTTTGGGAGTTGTAGGCCAAAACACCTGGAGACCCAAAGGTTGAGAACCACTATATTAGATACCACCACAGCCGTTTCTTATCAAGTGCACATGTTATTGAAATGCTGTGCCTGTACTCTGAATGGTAATTTGTCAATAGGTCTCCAGATCTTCTGTTTACATCGGCATTTTCCTCTCATCCAAATGCATCTGCTTGGCTATTTACAAATACTTAATTATAATTGATTTTATCATTTAAAAAAATATTAATGTAAATAATATTATGTATTTATAGTTCATTTGATATCAATACTATTAGTTTATAATTCAATATGTCCATCATATGTTGCAATGGATGTACTACCAGTAAATGGCTGACAATCTTAACTGGGGCTTATTTTTGATGTACAGCATCTAGAAAAATTCATGCTAGGGATTATTTTCCAGATAGGTCTTATTTTGGGGGAATTATGGTATACAAAAGTCAAAGCCTGCCTGCCTGTTTAGTAGTTTGTTCAACAAAGGCTATTGCTAATTGAAGTGACCCTCTGGGCCTGTCCGCACAGCCGTATATCCACAATATCAAGGCAGAAAATCCAACAATGTCTGCTTTGAACTGGGTTACCTGAGTCCACACTCAGATATTTTGGGATTTCCTGCCTTGATATCCTGGGATATAGGGCTGTGTGGATGGGCCCTTTATGAATGAAAGGGAGGGAGGAAGGAAAGGAGCACAAAGAGAGACACTGTGAGACCTTCTCAGAGGCCCCTTCTACACAGCCCTATATCACAGAATATCAAGGCAATAAATCCCACATCGTCTCTGTGTGGACTCACATAACCCAGTTCAAAGCAGGTATTGTAGGATTTTCTGCCTTGATATTCTGGGATATAGGGCTGTGTGGAAGGGCTCAGAGCCAGAGAAGGGAGGAGAAGGAAAGAAAGGTTTTCTTTGCAAGATTCATCCCAGTTAGGTTTGCCATTGCCTTCTCTGAGGTTGCATCGACACTATGTGTGTGCACCCTGTATGTAAACACACAGTATTTCATTCCCACTTAGGATTACAGTGTTAATAATGCTAATAATGTTATGATTATTAAACCCTGGTTCTGGACAATTATGAGTTGGACGTAAATGGACTTAGTCAATGCTAAAAGCTATGATAACTGTTCTCCATGCCTGCCTGCCTGAATGCAATCTAGCAATTTGACTGGCTGGATAATCTTCTCAATTTGGAGTGAATACCCGCTATTCTCCAGTGCTGAATATTTTCTTCCCCTGTGTGCTACTTCCATTCTTCTAACCTATCTCCCTGGATTAGTCAAATGAGCAACGCCAGCAAGCCAATTAGTAATTGAGGATTTGAGACAGGATTTTTCTTCATCATGTGTTATGATCCGCTTTCTTGAAGAAAGGTGTCACAGACAGTGCAAAGTCGCCCAGACAAAATTGTACATCTGTCTACTCTCAGGTTCAGATTGCACGCAACAATTTAAAGAAAACACTTTCAGAGGCCGTGGCTGAAAATAGCTTAACCCTTTCTCTTCTATCTGTTGTTCTCTCAGCCTGTTGGCAAGAGGATTTTGGGCTAATCCTCATCCTGCATCTCTCTTCTCCCTCTTGATCACAGTCCCCTAGCAAGGCAACTTGGCTTAAAAGACAGCAACAATAAACATTTAGGAGAAAGGATACTATTACAAGAGATCATTAGATATGCAGGAAGTCCGCTAGTTACAAACATCCAACTTACAAATGACTCATAGTTAAGAACTGGGGTGAGACAACAGAAATGAGAGGAAAGGGAATTCAGTCCTGAAAGAGTTATCATGGGGAAAAGGTATCTCCACTGAGATCTTAGCACTAATTCTTTTTTCCACAAGGAATAGAAAGAATATAAAAATATTCACAACATGGTTTGAAAACATAGTTCAAAATGATCCAAAAAACCTGACAAGAAGAATCTTGGACTGCCAATGTGCCATTGCGCCTGGGGGCTATAACTCTGAGTAAAAGAGGCATGGATATGACATCTTTCCCCCAGGGGATTGCTTCCAATTAGGAAAACTGGAACTCCCAAGGACCAAAACACTGCAGATAACTCCAAATAGGTTTTATTGTTCACAAAGAGTGATCCCTTTAAAGCAATAAGCTGGAAGTTTCAAAGGGGTGAAGGAAAACATACATTACAGTCTCTGGTTGTCCTGGGTCCAAGGAGTTTTGCAGCTGAGAAGCTTTTCCAGGTCCCTCTTTCTCAATGGCTGTGAATATTGGAATAATCACAACCCCAATTCCAATGGCCTATATTTTGAAGGCACAAGCCTTCCTCTGGTGCCAAAGAACTGGTTTGAAGGCGCTTGAGACTTCTCAGCGTCATCCAGGTTGATCTGAACATGAAGCATAAGTCTCAAGGGTAAGAACCTCAGAATTGGTGCTGAGAGGTAACTTAATCAAGGGCTTCAGAGCCAAGTCTCTCTCTCACATCCATCTGATAGAAAGTTTGATGGTGGAATGGAAAAGGAAACACTGTCCTGCTCTCTAGGAAGAGGTGGGGTCAAACAATTGAGCAGGAGGAGCAATTCAACTGATGTAAACAACATTGATTGGCAGCTATAAATAACCAATCAATCCAACTATACATTTACAGGGTAAAAAGGCAAAATCAGGCATGATACAACAGTTCAAATCCTGCAACTTACAGTTCTACATATAGGTGGCGCCACTCGCGCTGTCATAGCCAAGAAGTTCACAGTTTTGGCCTTATTTTGCACATGATTATTCAATGCAGAAAACGGTTTTTCCCACGGAAATATTATTTCATGTGCAATAAAATGGTGTTCCCCACACACAAAAATACTGTAATTGGGATTTATTCTGCATAACATTTGTGCAAAGTTGATTAGCATAGAAAACAATATTTCCTGCAGAGGAAATAGTATGTTTTCAGTGAAAATCACCTATATGTGAATTTGTATATAATGAACCCCAAATTGCAAACAGACTCTGACAACTGCATGGTTGTTGAAGGCTTATTTTTTAAGCTGGTAGAAATCTGTTAAAATTACTCTTTGCTTACTTCAAGAAGAAATTTAATAATCACTTCATAAGGAGACAGCTATTGTGAGTTTGGAATAGATATAAGGATAGGTTTCATTGAAAGTTGCCTTTATAGTGTTCTCCACATGAAGCATTGACTCAGAACAGAAATTTCTTTGAAAGGAAATTGGCTGACCTATAACTATTTGTTAACACTAGATAATGGTCAATATAGGCTGAAGGAGAGAGGGGAGTCAATGCTATAGCTTACTTACAAATAGCCGAACAATTTAAAATGGACAAACAAATTTGAAACTGTGGGATTCATGAATTGATAGAGAGTTGTTTAAAGTAGAAATGTAATCATATTATCAGTTAAAGGGGCTAGGCTAATAAGGGATAACAACAATCAGATAAAAAGTGCAGTGTCTGTAGATTTCTCAAAATGGTTGTTTGGTTGTAGCGTACAGTATGTCGTTGTGTAGTTTTATATATGGGTGGGTCAAAAAAAAAAGTAATGCCTCTATTGCCCTAACTTTTATTTCTTTCACAGCATGATATGACAGAGATAACCTTACTCTACTGATATAGACTTTTCTTTTTTTCCAATTGACTGATTAGAACCATGAATCTGAAGCTAAAAGGAAGAGCCATCATTGAATTTCTGGCAAAAGAAGGTTGTGTACCTAAGGATGTCCACAATCGCTTGAAGAATGTTTATGATTTGACCTCTTCTGACTTCTGACTTTTACCTGTTTGGACCTCTGAGAGACAACCTTCAGATTCAATGACCCGAATGACATTAAAAGAGCTTTAAAATCATGGATCATGAAGATCCGGTAGCCAGGTCCTATGAGGAACAACTTGCAGAGCTGCATATGTTTAACTTGGAGAAGAGAAGATTGAGAGGTTCAATATTTGAAAGGATGTCATATTAAAGATGGCACAAGATTGTTGATACCAACTGTCAGGAGTGCTTTAATTGTATGTTCCTGCATGGTAGAAGGGGGTTGGACAGTATGGCCTCATGGTTCCTTCCAATTCTATGATTCTATTATACAATTCCAGGATTGTTTCCCAGGTCTAATCCAGCCCTCTCATCACCACATCACACTGCCTCAACTCTCACCTGGAGATGACTGGTCACTGCTCAAGACCAAGGTAGCTGGAGTTGGACGGCGTCTTCGGATCTACAGAAAGATAAAAAGAGGAGGAGTTTGAATAATCCAAACATAGGGTCATTACAGAAGCAAGAGACAGGTGACTTTTCTCACTAGAAAGATAGGTGTTAATTCAGATACCAAATCTTGTTAAAATTATGCCTTTCTTCAATTTTGCCTTTCTTCAAAAAGAGCACCAGTATTTCTCCCCCTTTCTGTTCACAACAATCCTGAGGAATAGACTGGGACAAGAGCATATGAATGGTCCATAATCACACAGTGAATTTGAAGACTAAAGAGGAATTTGAATTTGGGTCTCCTGTTCAACTTCAACACCCACAACACTATGCTGACTCTCCTTTTAGAGTGAAAACTAGAGTGCTTGGAAGTATATAATCCCAAAAACTGGACACAGCACACTGACACAGGAGTGGGATTCATGTGGCCCTCCAGATGTTATTGGATTACAATTCCCATCAGCCCCAGTCAACATAACTGATAACTGGAAAGTGCAATCTAACAACATCTTTGCCTACCTGCCGTATTGTAGAATCTATGTATAGTTGCTTCTGCCTTGGAGAACTAAAGTCACTCTTAAGCTACAGCCCGTGATAAAAATAAGACCTCAAATAAAATAAAAACATACTCAAAGAGACAACTGAGATTGTACTTTCATACAGGCTGCCATTCTGAGGTTACATTCCTGCAGTATGTCCAAATCCAGCAAAGTTATTTTGCTTGGTCTTTCCCAAGACCACCTTTTCTACCATATTATGCAGGGAACAAAAGGTCCTGGCTGTGGCCCAGCTAGTTAGTAGCCAGCTGCATTAAATCACTACTGACCAAGAGGTCATGAGTTCGAAGCTAGCCTGGGTTGGAGTAAGCCCCTGACCATTAATAGTCTAGCTTGATGTTGAGCTATGCAGCCCGAAAGACAGTTGCATCTGTCAAGTAAGAAATTTAGGTACCGCTTTATGTGGGGAGGCTAATTTAATTAATTTATGACACCATAAAACCTTCCAGCAGCATGCGTAAGAATGAGGAAGTACTCCATCATGGACTCGATGTCACAAGTGCACGGTGAAGCGGCAGCTCCCCTTGTGACCGGAATCGAGCTGGGATTGAGCATACCCTGATGAAGCCGGAAAGCTGGAATGTTAAATTGTTTCTGTGTCTATCTATATATGTCTATGAATGTTTGCCATGTATATGTGCATTGTAATCTGCCTGCATCCCCTGCGAGGTGAGAAGGGCAGAAAATAAATACTGTAAATAAATGAATAAATAAATTGTAACATGTTGTTTTCTGCACTACTCTGGAGTGGTCGCTGGCCATGCATATGTTGCTGAAAAAGAGGCTCTTTCATTAGTAGAAGGGAGGTAAGCCATACAATTTGCAGCACTGCATAATTTATTTATTTCATGTATTTTTTATTCCATTTCTATGCAGCCTTTCTCCCAGTGTGAGAAGGCATCTTCTAAAAGCAGCTAAAACCTAACAATAAAATTCCAACATAGTTAAAATCATCACATTAAAAACATATCTTATGATGTGTATTAAACCATTAAAAAGCATGTCATTTCTGACATATCCTGATCCTAAGGCGACTACCATACGTTTTCTGAGGCTAAGAGTGTGTGACTTGCTCAAGGCCATCCAGAGAGGAAACCCCACTGGGTGACCTCGGGCAAGTCAAAACATGTAAAATGGAAAAAAAAAGCCTCCCTCCCCGCTAGATTCCCTGCAAGCAATTATTCATTAAAAATCCTGGTTTAACATAAAGATCTTTGCCTGTTAGCGAAAAGAGAACAAGAAAGCATCGCCTCCAATGGAAGGGAATTCTACACAGTGGGAGCAGCTACTGAGAAGACTCTCTCCATTGTCCTCAAACCAATAAATCTGTGATGATCTTGCAAGTCTTCCCCTGATGATCATAAAGTAGGTTTGTATAGGGAGATATGGTCTCTCTGAACAACATTTGTGCAAGCTAATATGCAAATATATCTATGCAGGTTAAGAAACAATGGCTATAATTTAAATTTAAATATGTATTACTACAGTGAGGAGGGCTGTGATAGAAGACTTGGTAGGAACTTGTTTGTCCGCTGCTCAGTTTGCTGCCCAGATGTTCTACCTATCAGCTCAGTTGCAGGAAGAAAAATGCTCTTACTGATTTTCTAAGATTATTGTTTTCCTACTGTTAACAGCAGACGGAAAAGAGCAGTCTCGGTGGAGATCACTCCCCACTACCTGTATCGCTAAGTGATCCTAGATTTTGGTCATCAGGGAGAAGTGGTTTACACCTTTTCTCTTTCTCTCCCTTTTTGATATAAATTTTTATTGTGATGTTTGAAGAAAAAATGCAATCTTCAAAATTCAACAATTGAGATATACGTATTATCACCCCAGTCCCAACACCTTCCCATTCCCTCCTGTGAACCCATAACATCTGATACCACATCATGTGGAACTAGTATCTAACAAAACTCTATTCTTATCATTAAATTAGTAAATTCCTCATGCAGCTATTTAAAAATCGATTTTGTCTTCTTTTTTGAATACCCAAAGGCAAGTCCTCAATTTCTAATAAATTCTTTAAAAACATTTTATTAATTATTTGACACTATCTAATATACAATCAGGAAATATACATTCAAAAATAATGAACAGTGTCTAGATCTATATTTAAATGGCAACTTGTGCAAAATAAGTATAACATACTTTATTATTCACTAGAATTCAAGACATTTTCAAAGCAAAATCCATGCAAACTATTCTTAACTAGAATTATTGGCTACTATGTTTTAGGAAAAACTGTTTCAAACTTGATAATAGCAATGGAACTTTATGCCTTCTTATGCCTTTGTATCAGTATGTGTTTCTGTTGACAATGTGCTTGTGGGTAGGCTGTGTTTGTGACACCAGGGGAAGCAAATGGCTTTCATGTCAATATGGTAATGAATCTTTTCCAGAGTTTAGCCTAAATCTTACAGGAGTTATTCAAGGTCCTGGATTCTATCTTTCCTCTCCCATAGGTCCAGTACTTTAGGCAGCCCCTGAAAAGTTTGAATTAAATTCTGGAAAATATCAACTGATCCCCTAGACATGGGTGTAGCATGTAGTGTGTATCTGTGGCTGAAAAGTCTACCAGCTGAAAAGACACCAGATGCAACTCTTGGGATGAAAAGGCTGGCCACCCCTCAACAGAAGTTTTGCCTGTCTAAAAGAGAAGACACAACTACCTAACTGCTTGCCTAGTACCCTCAAAATGAAATATTTTCTCTATCTGAGTGGGAAGGGGTGTCCAATCTTCAAGTGAAAAGCAGGGTCTCTCCCAATTAAAAAGAAGCTTACTGGAAACATTTTGAAATAACCAAAAACACAGAATGCTACAGGTTCTTTACAGATCTGGAGTGTTTGAGTTCCCTGGAGAGACTTGGGCTTCTTATATCAAACTGTAGTATAAATATGTTGCTTTTGCGTGCCTTTGAGTTGTTTTTCCTCTATGGTGACTCTAAGGTGGGTCTATTATAGGGTTTTCTTGGAAATATTTGTTAAAAACAGATTTGCCTTTGCCCTCCTTTGAGGCTGAGAGAATGTGACTTGCTCAAGGTCACCCAGTAGGTTTCTACAGCTGAGTGGGGATTTGAACCCTGGCCTCGCAGAGTTGTAATTCAATGCAGAAACCATTACACCATGCTGGCTCAAAGTATAAAGCACTGGAAAAAATAAGGTCTATCTAGGCCTTATTGGGATTAGGGTTGCAAACTATATTACCATCAGGTTCTTGTGGGTTTTTTCGGGCTATAGAGCCATGTTCTAGAGGCATTTCTCCTGACGTTTCGCCTGCATCTATGGCAAGCATCCTCAGAGGTTGAGAAGGTCTATTACCATCTCCATCTGGTTCCTGAATGCTGCTGTCTGCATATAGCACGACAAGGATCAGTCTGGAAGCTGCACAGTCAAATGTCTTTCTCACCCTCCCAGCCACATTTTAATGCTGCAGGTGCTTCCCTGTAGAAAAAAAAATCTGTCTGGCCAGAGTACAATGGCAGTCAATGCACTGGCCACTTATCACCAGCTGAATTGCTGCAGTTTTCCCATTAAGGAAGCTTCTTCAGCCATGAAGAGGCGCAAACAGCACTATCTTCCACGGGGACCATCCACCACATGTGCACACCGAGTCCTGACTATAAATTAAGACAGGCCCACTCTCAATTCAGCCTCTTATATTGGGTGACATTTAATTCTGGCCACTGTGAATCCTATCAAAATGACATGCAAATAATACTGCATGCCCAGGTGAGTTACCCATCCTCCTACTTTGATCATCTCCTCCCCAAGCTGTTAGCTATCAATAGCCACCAGGAGAAGAAAGATTTTCCTTGTGAAAAGATGCCAGCAACCCAGAAGACTAATCAAACAACTGCTTCTAGTTTCTAATTATTTACTTTTTTCCAGTAAAGGCATGGCTAGATTACTTGATCCTTGTAATATAACAAGAGATAGTTTCATTGATTTCCATCCTTGCAATTGCCTTTGTAGGTACATGAAGCATAGCCACTCTGATCCAGGCATTAGCAAACTTTGGCCCTCGAGGTGTTTTGGGTTTCAACTCCCAGAAATCACAGTCAGCTTACCGACTGTTAGGAATTGTGGGAGTTGAAGTCCAAAACACCTGGAGGGCTGAAGTTTGTCCATGCCTGCTCTAAACCATGGAAGAGGAAGATCACTTTGTTCAAGGGGTGGCTTGTATTGTAGCATGAACGGCTGCCTTGTGCCTTGTTATGGGTGACAAGGAAGCAACAAGGTGGATTACAGAAAATATCTGTTTTCTATCACAGGCAAGCAACCTGTAGCATCCAAAGTGTTCCTGCTCCCCAGTCATTATTGGGACCTTAATGCTAGTTACATTTAAGAAACAAGAAAGTAAAATAGCTATTTTAAAAATAAAATAAGCTATATTTAATAATACAAATTTTAAATTTATAGTAATAATGGTAACAATAATGACAAAACTATATACAAT